TTCTGAAGTCTGGGTCCCTGCAAACGTTAGGGCTCAGGCCCCAGATTGGGAAGAGAACTTTATTCTTAAAATGTTTCAGGCCAGGCATGGAGGCTCACGCCTGTAACCCCACACTTTGGAAGGCCCAGGTGGCTGATCACCTGAGGTCAGGAGTTTGAGACAGCCTGGCCAACATGGTGAAACCCAGTCTCTACTAAAAATACAAAAATTAGCCAGGCGTGGTGGCAGGCGCCTGTAATCCCAGCTACTCCAGAGGCTGAGGCAGGAGAATTGCTTGAACCCAAGAGACAGAGGTTGCAGTGAACCGAGATTGCACCATTACACTCCAGCCTAGGTGACAGAATGAGACTCCATCTCAAAAAAAAAATAAAACTTTTTTTTACCCTCCATCACTCTGAACACCGTTCTACATCTTATCATTATTGAGGGAAGACAGCTCCAGAAGAATTCCTGCCCTCACACCTTGCTTCCCTAAAGAAGCCTGCCGTTTTCTGCCTGGGGAGTCTCCTCAGGAACCAGACCTTCTTCTCTTCTCAGTGAAGAGCCCAGCGTGACCAGCCCAGGGGGGCACAAGGCTGTCCGTCCCACATCCTGGCAGGACCCACTGCCTGGAAGTAGGTGGGTGGTAGGTGTTTTGCTAGAGGGCATCACTCTAGACAGAAGCAGTGCCAGTTCCCAACTCTGCCTGCAGCATGGGATGAGGCCAGGAAAGGGGTCACAGAGACCCTCCCTGATCCTGCCATGGAGCCCAGCTGGCATAATCCCCTGCAGTGGCTGGGCTGGGTGCCACATTCTGTGTGGGTACCAAACCTGACATGGCTCCTTCCCCAAGGAAGGTGGCCCTTGGGTAGGCTGCAACTTTCTTGGCTGTGGTGCCCAATAAAGGGGGTGCCCATGCAGTCCCTTCCAACCCTGCACAGTCAGAAGCCCACAGTGTAGTCCCAGCTCTGCCCTGTCATCCTCAGTGGCCTCAGGCAGATCGCTCACCTTTCTGTGTCTTGCCTTCTTTGGCTAAAACATGAGGGCACAGACCAGGAGATTTCCAAAGCCCGCTGAGGCTGCTGGTCTGAGGTTCCGACTTCTGCCAGTCCTGCTAACGAGGCTAGTCGTGTGCTGGTGCCCCAGGAGGGGCTCAGCTTTCTCTTCCTCCAAACTTCAGAGCCAGGGGCTTCCCTCAGCTGATGTCCGGGTACGTGGTCCCTGCCATGCTCAAATGGGCAAGGAAATCCTGGAAGGCCTCACCCCTGTCAATTAGGAGGAGAACAAGTACCTGGCAAAGAAATGCATGCTGGATTCAAACACTACATAGGCCCTAGATGCTCAAGGCCAGGGGTTAGCAAACCATGGCTCTCGGCCAAGTCCTGCTTGTTTTAGTATGGCCCATGAGCTAAGACTGGTTTTTACATTTTAAGAGGTCGGCAAAAAGTCAAAAGAAGAAAATAACATGTTGTGACCCTTAAACATTTTATAAAATTCAAACATTAGTGTTCATAGTAAAGTTTTACTGGTGCAAAGCCAAACTCATTCATTTACATCTTGCCCGTGGGTGCTTTTGTGCTACAAAGGCAGAGTTGCAGAGTTGCAACAGAAAAGATGGCCCGCAAAGCCTAAAATAGTGGCTGTCTGGCCTCTTACAGAAAAAGCTTGCTGACCCCTGCTCAAGAATCAGAGTTCTCTCCAGGCCTTGCACTAAACCATTCCAGGACCTCAATCTAAAAGTACTTTCTTTTCATTTAAAAAGAAGTGTTGATCTTTTCTTCTTATGTAAGCAATAAATGTTCATTATGGAAATATTAAAAGATGCAGATAAGTAAAAAGACATTAAAATCACCCATAATTCTACCACCCAGGGATAACTACTGTGGTGTTTTGACTTACTGCCTTCTGGGTTATCTCACAGTATGCTGTGTTTATATATGCATGCCTGTGGCACATGTGTATATCCTGCATATGTACAGGGTTTTTTAGTCTTTTTTTTTTTTTGAGATGGAGTCTTACTCTGTCACCCAAGCTGGAGTACACTGGGGTGATCTCGGCTCACTGCAACCTCCACCTCCTGGGTTCAAGCAATTCTCCCGCCTCAGCCTTCTGAGTAGCTGGGACTACAGGCGCGTGCCACCACACCCGGCTAATTTTTTGTATTTTTAGTAGAGATGGGGTTTCACCATGTTAGTCAGGATGGTCTTGATCTCCTGACCTTGTGATCCTTCTGCCTTGGCTTCCCAAAGTGTTGGGATTATAGGCGTGAACCACTGCGCCGGGTGACATACAGCTTTTTACAAACTGTACCCATCTGTCCTCTTCACTTATAAACACATCTTGGCTGGGTGGGGTGGCTCACACCTGTAATCCTAGCACTTTGGGAGCCTGAGGTGAGCGGATTGCCTGAGGTCAGAGTTCAAGACCAGCCTGGGCAACATGGCGAAACCCTGTCTCTATTAAAATACAAAAAATTAGCCAGGCGTGGCGTCGTGCGCCTGTAGTCCCAGCTACTCGGGAGGCTGAGGTAGGAGAACTGCGTGAACCCAGGAGGCAGAGGTTGCAGTAAGCCAGGATAGCGCCACTGCACTCCAGCGTGGATGACAGAGGGAGACACCATCTCCAAAATACTTAAAAAATACATACACACACACACACACACACACACACACACACACACACACAAACACACAAACATCTCAAACTGAACCCTTTGGGGGACACCCAGGCAGGGGGCCCAGCAGGCAGCTGAACCCAAGCATCTAGAGCGGCTCAGGGGCTTGGTGGAGCTAGGGCTACAGATCTGGAGTCATCAGCACATGGGTGGTGGTTTCCCCTTCAGGAGGGGATGAGGTCACCCAGGAAGCATGCCCAGAGGGGAAGAGCAAAGGGCCAAAGAGGGAATTGTGGGAGTGTTGACATTCAAGGGACAGGTAGAGGAAGTGAGTCTACCAGACCCAGGAGGGAAGAAGAAGTAGGAAGAGACCCAGGAGGCCAAGGGAGTGGAATCGGAGACCCAGGGCCCAGGACCGTGCCTGGCGTGGAGCAGGTAGTTGTGAAATGAGTGAGTGATTTTGAGGGGGCTGAGTCCTGGTGAGTGAGTAACACTGATAAGGGACATTTAGAGAACTGTTGAACAACTACAAGATGTTTAGAGGCTCCCTGGGGGAGGCCATACAGGCCAAAGAGGCCTCCTGGGCCCAGCCTGGCGGGAGGGAGGCCATGCGGAGTGTGAGGAGGGAGGGGCGGGGCAATCCAGGCACCAGAAGCTGGGAGCTGGTCAGAGGATCCCAGTGGAGTTCTTGGCGGTGACATGAAGCCACTCGTTTAAGCCCGTCTCTCGGATTGGAACGAGGAAGGTCAGAGATGGGCGGCCAGAGGCTCCTGTCAGAATGTGGGCACTGGGCGGCATGGGCCAGCCTGGTGGGGTAGAGTATAAATAGGAATATGGTTTAGAGATGCTGGGAAATCCTCCCCGTCCCCTCCCTCCTCATGAGACTGAGAGGTCCCCAGGGATGCCAGGCTCAAAGGCCCCTGCCGTTCTGTTGCCAAAATTGGGCATGGAGAGAAACCCAGAGACAGGACTGGAGGTCCCATGACAGGCCAGCAGGAGAGCTGGACACAGGACATCAGGCTGAGAGAGGGCTGCTGGGTGGGGGAACTTGACACTCTTCATTTCTTCTCCGATTTATTGTGTAAAAGATGGTGGGCGTCAGTTTCTGTGCCAGAGCAAGTGGAAGGAAACAGATGGAAGCTGTTTCCTCTGGGATTTAAGGAAGACCTAAGGAAAGGCTCCAGAGTGTGGAATCTCAGAAACACCGGGTGGCTGGGGAAGGACCTTCCTTGAGGGTCTTTAAAGAGGACTGCTAAAAGGCACAGAGAGGGCTTTCTCTGGCTGGGAGAGTTAAGGCGGGCCTTCACTGGAGGCAGGAGGGTGTGGGAGATGGAGGCCGCGCCTGCCCGTGGCCCTTTGCTCTGGTCTCTGATCTCTGGTCTGGGATGTTCTGTACGCCCAGGACCAGAGCTGATCACTTGGCCAAACTGAGCCTCCTCAGAGAGTGCAGACCGGCTTTAGCTGGGCCGTCAAAAAGGGTCAAAGGAAAAGACCAGAAGATGCAACACACACCTCTCTTCCTTGAGCCTCAGGAAGCCAAAGGGCAGCAGAATGGATATTAGTAGGACTGACATGGAGTCACACAGAGGGGCTAGACGGGGGGTCGTGAGGGGTCAGGAAGGGTCAACTGTGGGGGTCAAGGCCAACATCTGAGCCTGAGTAGTGTGCCTGCCCTGCAAGGCTCTTTGGCTCTTCCCTGAGTGACGGAGCCAGGAAGAGGGCCGCAGGTACCTGCCAAACCCTCCCCGCGGCCCTGTTGCAGGAGGAACCTCTCATTTGGGTTTTTCTCTTCCAGTCCACCCCTCACTGTAGGATGGTGCCTCCAGCCCAAAGACCTCCATAGACCTCACTGGGGGAGTCACTGCTGGGCAGGACACTGCCCTCACTGCCCCAGCCCATCTCCCACTGCCATCGGGCCACATGCTGGCTAGAGGAGGAGGGTCAGGTTTCAGCTGAGGCCCAGAGTCCAGCTTCTATATATCATTTGCTAGCCGTTTGAGGGCTTACTCTGTCTTAGGCCTTGGGTCAGGCTCTGGGGGTGCAATGGCGAGTCACATCACAGTGCTTGCCCTTAAAAAGCTCACAGGCAGACTAGGGAAATGACAAGGAAACAGTTACAGGACAGGGAGCCAAGCGTCCTGCCTGGGGATGTCAGAATGCTGTGGGAGCACAGAAGAGGGACCCTCACCTGGCTGAGTTTCAGGCTAGAGAAGACGTAGAGGTCCCCATGGCAGGAAGAGTAGCACGTTGTTGGTTTCCCCTTAGCGCCCAGCCCACGTGCTTGGGTACCAATCTGAGACCCAAGAGAACTGAGGAGGAAGCATGCCCTGGGGAGTGTGGGGCTGGGTGACTGGACAGTCTAGGCTTGTTCTAATGTGCACAGAAAGAGGACAGGGCCAGGCCTACCCCAGTCACGCTCAAGTCCTGCCTAGGACAAGAGCTGGCCTAATGAGAAGAAACCCCTGGAAACAGGTCCCTGGCCTGCCTGAAACTGAAAAGAAAGGTACCAACATGTATTGCACGTGGCAATGTGTCCTGGATCTTAAAAGTGACGTAGGAATATGGTTTAGAGATGCTGGGAAATCCTCCCCATCCCCTCCCTCCTCATGAGACTTAGAAGTCCCCAGGGGTGCCAGCCTCAACGGCCCCTGCCATTCTGTTGCCAAAGTTGGTCATGGAGAGAAACCCAGAGACAGGACTGAAGGTCTTTACGGTCTTTGTCCTTGAGGGGTCTGGTGTTTCTATATCTGTAGAGGAAAGAGGCTTAAATAAGTCATTATGATACAGTGGCTCGATGGCCTCATTCAGTCATTTGCTCATTCATTCCACAAATGCTAAGTACTTTGTGGGCTCCTTACCCCGTGTAAGGTACCAGGGAAACAAAACTGTTAAGGCCCCATTCTTGTCCTGAAGGATCTCACAGTCTAGGGATGAGTGTGTGCTGGCTGCTGTGGAAGGGACAAGGAGGAAGCATTTCATTCTACCTAGAGGAACAAGGTGTGGTCATGTGCAGCCTCCCAGGGGAAGTGACCTGTGAGTTGAGTCTGGGAGTGGTTTTACCAAGGAGAAAATTGAGGAAGGGCATCCCAGGCCACATGACCACAAAGCCATGGGATGTGAGTGCAGTTTGCTCTGGGAATCGCAAGTACATTTGATAAAACCAGACCCTCTGGGGAGGGGTGAGTGCTGAGACTCAAGAAGACAGGGATCCTGATACAAAAGGCCTGGCCTACCAGGCTCTGGAGTTTGGACTTTTTCCTGAAGGCAGTGTTAGCTTTGAAGGATTAATTTTTTTCCTTTTTCTTTTTCTAATTTTTTTTTTTGTTTTTTTTGAGATGGAGTCTTGCTGTGACTCCTAGGCTGGAGTGCAATGGCACAATCTCAGCTCACTGCAACCTCTACCTCCCAGGTTCAAGCAATTCTCCTACCTCAGCCTCCCGAATAGCTGGGATTACAGGTGGGTGCTATCATGCCCAGCTGATTTTTGTATTTTTAGTAGAGACAGGGTTTCACCATATTGACTAGGCTGGTCTTGAATTCCTGACCTCAAGTGATCCGCCTGCCTTGGCCTCCCAAAGTGCTGGGATTACAGGCAGGAGACCCCATGCCTGGCTGCTTTGAAGGATTTTAAATGGGCAAGTGACATCATCAGAAAGCAGCTGAGAAAGTTGTCTAGGAGGCTGATGGCAGTTAGATTGGAGGCCAAGTATTATTCTCAGTTAGCAGCAAGGAAACTGAGGCATGGGTATCTTCCCAGGTCACAGCTACTAAGTGGGGTTTCTTCCACAACACCAAACTGCAGAGAATTCCTCACTGCAGGACGTTTCTGGTTGGACTGAGACGCTAGGAGACAATGGCGCATTTGTCTGGAGCAGGGGTGACCCTGAGCCCCACTTTGCCTCTTGAGCAGATATCCAACAGGTTTGCCCAAATTGCTCCTGGAAGGCCTTCCCCGCCTACTTCCTGCATTCCAAACAGAGGCTGTGGGAATGCTCTTGGAGCTCTGGGACCATCCAGAGCATCTGTTCGTTGGCAGGGTGACTGCAGGCCCGGCTGTCCTCATTTCTGGCCACCCCGAAGGTGCCAGGCCTGCAGCCTCTCTCATCCAGGCTGGGGCAGGGCGAGATTGTGAAGAGGCCCCAAGGCTTCCGCTGCCTCCGAAGGCCGCTGCAGCTCCGGGCAGCTAAGGGGTGACTGGCCTCCCCGGAGGTTTGTCACAGGTTCCTGGTGACTAAGGCCTCCAGCTGTGCAGAACAGGGTCAGCTGGAGGATGAAGGAAGAGATGGTATCTGCAGGCTCCCTGCAGGCTCCGTTCTCCCTGGGAGGGAATATCTCTGAGGTCCTAGCTCATGACATCTGCAAACTTGGTCAGCCATGGCCTCTAGTTCTTTGAAATTCACCCAAGGCCCCAAGTGGCTGAGTGACTGAGGTGGGGGCAGGGAGTGGGAGACAGGGTGTCATAGGGATCCTGGCTGGCGGTCAGCCTTTGTGACTGCGGGGCAGATCCTCTGGGCTTCAGAAAGTAGGCGGCCGCAAGTTATACCCTCCAACCCCTGCCCCACCCCTGGGCACACAGAGACCAAGGCTGAAAAGAAAAGCAAAACAAAAGAGGGACTTGGGGAATACATCTACCATGTGCCTGGAACACAACAGGTGCTCACATGTGCCTGTAAGCAGACATGTGCCTGCTGTATGCCACCAGCACCAGGCATAGGGACCAACATGTTCCAGGTGAGGGAGACAGGTGAAAAGTCACGCCCCATTGAAGGAGGAGCACCTGGTGGTCCTGGGGCATTGAGTGGGGGTTGGGGAAGCATGTGCAATCAATGTTGGGGAGCCCCAGTAGGAAGTTCTGGCCAGCTGGTATGTGCCTGGGAGGAAGTGGCTGGAGTGGCTGACAGCTTTACGACCTACCTGGGCAGGGAGGTGGCAGGGGAGGCTGCGGGGCGTCTGCCTGCCCACCCTGCAGCACCTCAGTGGGACTCAGCTCCTTCAAATTCCCCCAGCACCCACTGCCGGGCCAGCATCCCTGGACGCCCCTTGCCCTCTTCCCCTGGCACCAGTTGCACGAGGACAGCCCCAGCATTGCTCCCTGCATGCTGTCCAAGGCTCCAGAGACTTGTACAGCATGCAAGGGCAACGGAGAGGGGCAAAGCCAGAGAGGAAGGGGCTCCAGATCTTGCAGGGCCTCTGGATGCAGGCTGGAGAACCGGGGCTTTGTTCAAGAAGAAGGCAAAGAGGTGTCCGGAAGAGGTTTGCTGAGAGGAAACTCCAGGCCTGGCCCCAGGAGCTTAAGAAGTGAAGCTGACTTTCCCATCCTCCAGTCTACAGCCAGAACTTCCGGGAGGTGGAGGCTGCTTCCCAGATTCCTGGGATGCTCTGCCAACTTCCTTCTCCACCAAGGTCTCCAGGTCAGGGTCTCTCAGGGGCCCCAGCCTTAGGGCAGGTGTTAGGTCTGGAGCCTGGCACAGGTGGTCCCAGCAGTCAGTGGGCTGGGAGTCTGCCCTCTCTGGGCACTGGGGCCCTGGGGCTGGCCTGGCCTGTGCTGTGGAGTTTCCTTTCCTCCCAAGATAGAAGATGGGACTTGGCTGCCAGGAGCTGGGGTTCCCTGCCTTACAGGGGCCCCACCCTGTGTGGCCCTACAGTTGTCTAAGTAGGGGGACCCTGCCTCCCTGGCCCTACCCCCCTCACATCTGCCAAGAGATGATCCTGCTCCCTGTCTCCCGGCCCTCTTCCATCCTGGGATCCCAAAGTACCTGTGATAAGGAAGTCTGCAGGGATGTTTGATGAAGTGTATATGAGGCCTCTTTTTGTCTGGGCAGGGGTTTAAGAGAGGAGAGCCAACCTTTGCTGGACATCTGCTCTGTGCCAGTGCTGTGTGTTGGCTCCCCCAGCATGTCCACCCGGATACCACTGGACATTGAAGATGTCACCTGCCCAACATCCAATTCCTGGTCTTCCCACTGAAACTGCTCCTCCCAGAATGCCTTGTGACATCCAGTGACTGTTCATCCCACCACTCTGGCTGCTTGGCCAAAACCCTCCAGTCAGGCTTGACTCTTCTCACCCACAACATACAATCCATCTGCAAAGCTCTTTGGCTCCACCTTCAAAATACAGCCTGAATCCAGCCACTTCTCACCACCTCCACTGCCCCACGCTGGTCCCAGCCACCACTGAGCTCTCTCCCATGGGCCTCGGCAGCAGCCTCCTGCCCAGGCTCCCTGCTTTCCCCTTGCTCTCCTTGTCTGTTCTCAACACAGCAGCATGTCAAAGCCTCAGTGCAATCATGTCAAGCATCTGCTCAAACTCTCCTTACCCCTCCAAGCCCAACACAGATGCTCTGCGCTTCCATCCAGTCTCCTCTTCAGCCATACCATCGTCCTGCAGCAAACCAGCCTCACTCTGCCTCAGGACCTTTGTCCCTGCTGTTCCCTTGCTGACCTGCTTCCCCCAGACCCTGCATGCCTGGCCCCTCACCTGACACCTGGTCTGGGTTTCTCCTGTCACCTGCTCCGCGGGGAGGCCTTCCTGACCACCCTACTTAAACGTGCAACTGCCCCTCCCACGCCGTCCCTCTTTCCTGCATGAGTCCTCATCATTGCACTTGTCACCATCCATCCTGTGTATTCATTCTGTTTATTATCTGCACCCCCACCCCTGTTAGAATGTATTAGGGCAGGAGTTCATGTCTGTTTCATTCACCTGTGGATTCTCAGGGTCTGCAACTGTGCCTGGCACGCAGCAGGTGTGCGGTCATTGTTGAATGAATGAAGGAATGACTGGAGCCAAGGGTGAGAGGGGTTTTATAACTTCATTGCTATTCCACAGCCTGCTAGTGGTAGCACCAGAGTTTGAAACTGGGTTTGTTTGGCGTTCAATTCAGAGTAGGAGTGGAGGAGACCTGGAGGAGAAAATAGCACATCAAGCCGAGGCCACAGGGACAGGGCAAGGGTTGAGAGGGCTCCAGGTAGGAGAAGAAAGGAGGGATATGGTCCACGTTTGTGCACTTGGCAATAACAGGAAACGGCTGTGTGATTTTGAGCACGTCATTTCCCCTCTTGGAGGCTCAGCCTCTTCAGTGGGCAAGGGATGGGGATGGAGGGTGTGTGAGCGTCTTCGGTGCTGACATTCTGGGAGGCCAGCCCTGCTCACTGGGTGCACAGTGGCCTCTGGCAAGTGCTGGGTTTCCTCTCAGTCTGGCTCCTCCTTCCTCCTTCTGTGCCACCCGTGGCTCTGGCACCAACAGGAAGTTCTGAGCTGGCTGGTATGTGCCTGGGAGGAAGTGACTGAAGCAGGTTGAGAGCTTTTCGACTTACCTGGGCAGGGAGGAGGGAGGGGAGACTGCCGGGGGTCTGCCTGCCTGCCCACCCTGCAGCTCCTTAGTGGGACTCTGCACTTTCAGCTTCCCCCAGCTCCCACTGCCAGGCCAGCATCCCTGGACGCCCATCGCCCTCTTCCCCTGGCACCAGTTGCACGGGGACAGCCCCAGATGGCTCCTTGGCCTGGGGACAAAGGCTGTGCTGTGCCTGGCCCTGGGCTGGCCTCAGGCTGGGTCATACTGAGCCCTTCTGTCCCCACTTGGGGGTGAGGGGCAGACAGCACTAAGGTGACAGGCCTTTTTCCTGTCTCCCTTCCCCCTCGACCCCCAAATCGGAGGAGCTGACTCTCCCAAGGGAAAAATGACAGAGGCATCTTGTGTCTTGACCTAGGGAACAACAGACTATTCACTGCCCAGTCTGCCCTGTCACACCCAAGACCCTGCTGGGTTCAATGCCCCAATTGTCCCCAGCAGAGAGAGACATCCACTCTGCTGTTGTCACCACCCCCACCGCCTGCTCTCCCGTTACCATCAGGAAGTCCATCCTACATCTGACCTCCATCCCTCCTGCTACTGTGGCAGCCACTTCCTCTCGAGCTCCTCTCCTGAGGGTGGAGAATAGCTGGTCCTGGTCACCTGAACTGCTTGGCCCCACATTCCTGCTCCAGTCAGCTGCCCCTGGCCTCACCCTCCCTCCAGCTCCCTGCCGCACTGTCCTCCCCATCCCAGGCACAGGCTGGTGGCTCCTTGCTCCTTACTGAACCATGGGGAGAGCAGGTGTGACTCAGGGCTGGATCGCCTTTGTCTTGCAGAAATGGGGGGCCTCCTTCCCAGAGGCCTTTAATGAGCTCCCCTCCCCTCACCCTATAAGCAAGAGCAAGGGTGTGAGATTTGTGGCTGCTACTGGTAGATTCCTGAGCCACAAACCCAACATGCCATCCCATAAATCCTAGACTGCAGGACGGTTTTATGGGGAAGCCCTGTTTTTAGAAAGGGGTGTGGCTGGTCTCCCTCAGTGGAGCTTAGACGTCAGGGAGTCAAGCGCCTGCCTCTCCCACCCCCAGAGAACAACCATGAGGAAGCACAGGGACCTCAGTTCATGCAGTGTAGGTGTGCCAGCTCCCAGCAAGGGAGATTCCCTGTCCTGTGGGGGGCCTCCTGCTTCCTTCCCCTGCTCTGAGGATCCCGCGCCTCAGCACGGGAGGGTAGTCTGGAAGCCTGGGCAGATAGTTGTCCCTTACCTGGACCTCAGATGCTTCCCGGTCACAGCTCCAGATGTACATCATTGAAGATGTTTACAAATGCATTTTCCAAGGCACCATCCTCAGAACCTCAGTTCCAGAGTCTCAGGGTGAGACCTAGGAATCTGAATTTTTTTACAATGCTCCCTGGTGATTCTAATGTTCAGCTATCTTTGAAAATAATTGGCTCACTACAGTGGTTCATGCCTGTAATCCCAGCACTTTGGGAGGCCGAGGTAGGTGGATCACTTGAGGTCAGGAGTTCGAGACCAAACTCGCCAACGTGGCAAAACCCTGTCTCTACCGAAAACACAAAAATTAGCTGGTGTGGTGGTGCGGGCCTGTCGTCCCAGCTACTTGAGGCTGAGGCACAAGAATTGCTTGAGCATGGGAGGTAGAAGTTGCAGTGAGCCCAGATCACGCCACTGCACTCCAGCCTGGGCAACACTGTCTCAAAAAAAAAAAGAAAAGAAAATAATTGATCTGTACAAGGGGCCATCTCCACTCTCCTATCTTGCTGGGAAATGGGAGTCACCAGGTAGGCATGTCTGGGTCCTCCTGTCACTGGGACCCATACCACCTGCCACCATCATGAAGCCTCCAGATTAGATCTCTCTGGCCTGGATGCTATACACAAATGTGAGGGAGGGTGGCTGCCCTCTGGAAGTTTCCTGTGTGTGAGAGTCCTGCAGACAGCAGGCCTGAGACATTGCACAGAGCCATGGAGGAGTGGCTGAGGATGGCTGGCAGGAAGCAGTTTTGGGATGGAGAGTCAGGAACGTCCAAGGCTGGTGGGCTCTGCCAAGGAAGCCGAAGAGGAAGCGCTCTGTTACCTTCTCATCAAAGGAGGCGCCACCAGCCCCTGAGTTCCTTGAGAACAGAGACCACCCTTTACTTGCCTCCGAAGCCCTCATGCCTGGCACAATGCCAGTGCATTGTAGGTGCTCAGTTTTTACCTGTTTGTTTGTTTTTTGAGACTGAGTCTTGCTCTGTCACCCAGGCTGGAGTGCAGTGGCACAATCACCACCTCTGTCACCCACGCTGGAGTGCAGTGGCACAATCTCCACCTCTGTCACCCAGGCTGGAGTGCAGTGGCACAATCTCCACCTCTGTCACCCAGGCTGGAGCGCAGTGGCACGATCTCTGCTCAGTGCAACCTCCGCCTCCAGGCTTCAAGTGATTTTCCTACCTCAGTCTCTCAAGTAACTGGGATTACAGGTGTGCGTCACCACACCCGGCTAATTTTTTTGTATTTTTAGTAGAGACAGGGTTTCACCATATTGGCTAGGCTGGTCTCAAACTCCTGACCTCAGGTGATCCACCCACCTTGGCCTCCCAAAGTGCTGGGATTGTAGGTGTGAGCCACCGTGACTGGCCAGTTTGTTGAGTGGAACTGAGACCAGGGCCCACTGACAGAGATGGGCCTGCCTAGCAGTGCAGACCTGAGGCCTCCACCCTGAGAGGTGCCAGCCCGCTGAAGGAATGGAGAGTCTGTTCACACTTAGCCACAGGGATCAGGGCGGCTGTGTTTGGGGCACCACTAAGCTGTGTTTGGGGCAGCCAGGAGCATGTGCTGCCAGACAGAGGACCCTTTCCAGGCTGGCTGAGGACAGAAGGATGTGATCATTAAGCAAAGCCAACATGTTACTGAACCATAATCCCTTAAACCAGGAGGATTCGGGAAGGGCCTGGTCGCCTTGGCAACTAGGTGCTGGCCAGTGGCAGGGCTGCTTCCAGGAGTGGGCTGTGCCTGGGGCATGGGTAGCAGCTGGGAGGGGGTGCAAGGTGGCCCATCACAGGGCTATCCCTCTGGTGCCTTCTTGCCAGCATGGGCGGGAGCCTTGGTGAGCCCTCAAGGGCAGTGTGTGCAGAGCAGAATGAGAAGGGGCTGCACTAAGTGTGTAAGAAACCATGAAGGGGAGTGGAAGGGAGGTGGGACAGCGCTGCTCTGGGTTTTCAGGGCAGGAGGGAGAAGGGAGGGTGTGCAGGAAGAAGCAGTTGCATGGGGTCATCAGATGGCCAGCAGGGCATCCTCTAGTTCACAGGGCACGAGGAGCTGGGGAGCCCAAGGAGGAAAGCTTTCATAGCTGGGGGCGGGGATGGGGGGGATGGGCAGAGCAGCTCACCCTGCTCCTCCATGGTGTTCTTGATAGAAGATACCCTGCCCGCTTGGGTGGCTCTGGCATGGGAAGGTCCCAGCAGGGCTTAGGCCTCACCCTCCCTAGGGCTTGACTCTATTTCTGGCAAGCTTCTGTGTTTCCCCTGGGACCTTCCCTGCTCCTGACCTCCCATATTTCAGCTGGAGAGGAGGGGCAGCTGGGCAGCTCTGATGCACTCTTCCCTTCTCTCCCGCGGCATGCCAGAGCAGAGATCGTCAGGTGTCAGTATTGGAGGTGAAATAAGGTTTGGTCCCTATCATGTCCCAAGGGTGTTGGCCAAGCTGAGGTTCACTTTATGGGCCATGGTCAGTAAGATTTGCTGGCTGTGGATACATTCAAGCTCTGGCAAACAAGTTAGTAAATTTCTGCTGGCCCGGGGACTGCCTGGTTCTGGTGCCCTCCCTGCCACCCCAGCTCTTCCCCCAGAGCTCTCTAGACCTCCAGCAGCTAAGGGGTCAGGTCTAGGGGCCTTCAGGATCCTCTGTGTACATCATGCCCGCTATTATGACCAGTACTTTGCCGGACTAGGTGGTCCATAGAGAACCGCACGCAGGCGTGAGGGGTGGGCAGTGCTGAGAGTCACTAGGAGGAAGAGGGTGACTGGGAAGAAGACGGTGAGCACCCACTCTCCAGGGCGGGGGGTCAAACTTTGGAGAAGACACAACCCTAGCTCCTGGTGGTAGTGGCATACAGGGCGACAGAGCTTGGTGGGAAGAGAGCTGAATTCCCAGTGGGTGGAGACCTGGGCTGGTGGCCTTGTTCTCACCTGCTCTTCTCACACCTCCCATCTCAGGGCCCGGCTGCCTGCTCCCTCATGATCATGAACAAGATGAAGAACTTTAAGCGCCGTTTCTCCCTGTCAGTGCCCCGCACCGAGACCATTGAAGAATCCTTGGCTGAATTCACAGAGCAATTCAACCAGCTCCACAACCGGCGGAACGAGGGTGAGAGGTCTGGGCCCACCCCAGCCCACCCCAGCACCTCTCCACCTTCAGACATTTCCCAGGCACCTCCCTCCCCTCCCTGCCCGGCCCTTCCCCACTGGCCTTAGGGGAGGAGCACAGGACTGGGGGTGGGGGCTACCCTCCTCCCCCTTCAGGGCAGAGAGGCAGGGAGGGGAGCTGATACCTGTCCCCTCAGACCTGCAGCTCGGTCCTCTTGGCAGAGACTCCCCGCAGGAGTG